GCAATCCTCAACAACTTTTTTGTTTTTACACCAGGAGTCAAAGGTCTGTTTCTGGAAATCACATCCCCAGCAATCAGCAGTTGTAAAATAAGCTGTAAAAGGGTTCAGACACCACTAGTTGGCAGTGTTATACATGAATTGTACATGAATATTAGCCAGCTAGTAGGTAGGTGTCAAATAGAACTTGCGCTTTAAAATTAGATTCCGCTAATATTTGTATGGCATAAGTGCTTTTGAAGTTGCGGACCTAAATATTTTCATAAGCTCTTTAGAAATTGTGGAGCTAATTTTTCAATTAGCGCTGCCCACCACTGATGATTATCTGATAGACCCACTTTACAGTCCGATTTCAGTTAGTTTTCTGCAGTTTTATGATTGATACACTTATTTCATTTGTTGGTTTGATCATTTCAGCTCTTTTGAGGAATCAGATTTAAACAAAAAAATAATTTCTGCTGACAATTTTCTGCCATGTCATTGCTGAAATTTGCTGCACAACTTGGAGGCTGAAACTGAATTGGTAATGTTGAAAGAAGCAGAACACTAGCTAAAAGCTAAAAGAAGCAAAAAGTTAAATTAGATATTATTAAAAGCTTACCAAGCATAGCAAAAGGTTAGCCATAAGTAGCTAAACTGTAGCATCTTGTTCCTTAACGATTGTTTTGATAAATAAATGACAAAAACAATACAAATTAAGTTTAATTGCAAAAATTACATAAAAAACAAGYAAAGTGTGTGAATACTGAAATGGTAAGCAGCTTCCATCATATGTTAATGTTGTGCAGGTGAGTTCAGACAGCGCCCCCTCGCAGCATGGAGTCAGCTCCAGAGTGGCAGCAGTGGGGCCATACATCCAGTCATCCCCCACACCAGGACCAGCACAGGACCGTCAGGACATGCTGGTGAAGCCAGCATACCCAGATGGTACCGCCACATTGCCCATGAAGCCCCCACCCAGACCAGCCAAAACATCTTCAGGTACGTGTGGCCTGAAATGACACATTTCTGACTCAAACATCCATCACTGACTTCAGTACTTAAACCTTCTGTGGTTTCTCTACTGGTCACAGGTTTCAACACCTCAAAACTCAGTCAAATCTCTGACTGGAGCAGTTTGTATCCAGAGTCCAGCGGGGGTTCCTGCCATGCCTCCAACCGTTTTTGTGTGTCCAACCTCAGCTGCCATAGTTCAGGTCAGATGCTTTTTGTAGAACACACACGATTCTCTCCAGATACTGCGCTTCTTCTCCTGTCCAAAAACATGCCTGTTATCATGTGTTTGGCAGTTCTAAGGCCTCGTCCACACAGCAAGTGTTTTTATTTATTTATTTTTCATTATTTCAACCTTGTGTCTTGATCTGCACAAACCTGTGTGTTCTCTGAATCAGCCACTAATCTCTTCACAGTACAATGATCACGAATATGATTACATGAAATAGCAAAGATTTTCATYCCTTGTCCGATGCCTTTATCTATTTCATGTTTTTCAGCAGTATAGAGATTTTTTCCCCATATTGCTTGAAAATGGTGGTCTGCTTAATAACGTGGACCATCCTTCAGTAGTTTTTCCCTTAACTGGGCTCACCTTGGTAATTAATCATCACAGGTGACTGGATTGATTTCAGTGATTGAAAGAGCCCTGAGTAAATGTATGTATATATATATTTTACTTTGACACTTAAAAGC